ATTCCAACAAAGAGGAAGACTACTAGCCATATTCGGCAATCATCTGCAGCACTAATAGCACTGACAAGGCTTGATTCAAGATTACTAGAGAAAGACAAATATGATTACATTCATGGGCATCACAATAGGAGTGGTGGAATGAGAAGAACAATAAGTACCTTAGACTTTAAAATTTCCTTCTCTAGTGCATCTTTGAGCCCATCGATTTCCTAAAAGATTAATGAGTTAAACAATGTTTTATTTGATCCAATTATTAGGGTGAACATATATAAGAGCAAACCTCAAAAGGCCAACCATCAACAACAAAAACATCCAAAGAGTACCCATCAACAGTGGAAAAAGCATGAGCTTCCTGAATGTTCAGTCCAATCTCCGCAAGTAAAGAAGTCAACTGTAAAGTAATCATTGATATCTATCATTCATTACAAGACAAAGTTTCAACAAAAACATACCAAATGGGATCTTCCTGCAACAAGAACATGGTAAAATGTATATATAAAATTTCAAATGAATCTGACATCATATCATTCCAGACAAGAGTATCATATAACCAGAGGTGTTAACTTCTACGGTAACTTGACTCTCATGTCTCAGCATCAAATAACTCTTGTTAAACCACAATGTTGTTACCATTTCCTTTAAATTGACGCAGAGGCAGAAAATCAAGAGATGAGAAATTCTGTTTCTACAAAAGCTAATGCCAACATAAAGAGTGATATCCATGGCATCCCTTTCAAAAAAAATCAGTAAATGAAGTGTTAAAATTTATCTTTTTTCTTTCTATATGAAAATTGGTTAATTACAATATCAATTCTGCTGCATAATATAAGAAATGAAACTCCAGTATCAGTCGTGTTAAGCAACAAAAAGAGGATGGCAGTATTTATCTAAAAATTTATGAGAAGTTGAGAACACACAGTGGAAGGCATCATCAAGACAGGAGAAGTGGAAGCATCAACTACCTGACTCAGGAGTTTTGGCCGGTCAACTGTTGAAAAGGTGATCTCATGCATAGGCCTACAAGAGTCCACCTTAGAGAATATTATTTAATGTAAAGGCAAGTTATGCACCTATTAACAAAAAGCAGTGAATTAGTTAAAGGAAAAAAAAGGCAAGGAAAATAGATAAGGGCTCAGCTCAAGGGTCCTAGTGTCAAACAATAACCAGAAGAGAAAGAAAAAAGCCACTTTGTAGTACGAGACTAAAAAAAAAGTGCTCAATTCAAATTCTTACCGGAGGCATGGTATTGAATTCACGTCACTGTCTTTATCTTTCAGTTGCTTGAAGAGAAAAAGCTTCAAAATGAGGCGATGAACCAAAGGTAGGCGGTGGGTGAATGCTGAAGAAAGACAGAAATAAACAGCAGGGATACCCAAAAAGAGAAAACCGTAGTTAAGTTTGGGTCTAGAAAGAATATGGAGGAAGAGCATAAAAAGAATCCATGGAAATACTAATTTTAACTACAAGAGCCTTACCCCAGTCTATTTGAATGATAAGCACTTTGTGCATCTTCTTTTACAGATGAATCAGAATGAACAAAGTCAACAGAAGGTGTGGTGGAGACAGGATAAACCTATAGAAGATACCAGAATGAAACAAAATTATTTTTAACATTCATCAATAAAATACTAATCGTCAAAGCTAAGCTACATTCAATCTCCAGGATTTCAAGAAGGGTAATAGGGTATATCACGGTCAAAGTGAAACGTCAATAGAAATCCCACATCCTTAAGTTATAGAGGTGTCAGACACGCAAAAATGTATACCTGCACTACTCGAACTTCAAAAACAGGACGATTAGCAGGGTCCTCTGCCAGATGCAATACTCTTTTGTGTGTAAGAACATCTTCTGCCCGTTCCACATTTACATCTAATGCGTATCTATCAAAAGTAACATAAATCTCAAAACATCATGGCAGAACAACTGATAATTTAATATAAGCTCAACTATTGAACTTTTCATAAAAAAAGAAGTACCAGTAATTTCGAGCTTCATTAACTAGACTAATGTGGAAGGATAATGAAAAAGATCAAACGAGACAAACAAAACTGTTTCTCTGATTTGATTTGAACTCTTTTTTTTCAACGTTTTGCCAACGACAAAATGAATTTTTTAAAAGAAAGAAAAAGGATCATAGTAAAATTCATGAATCCTTATATCTAATTTACCCTTCCAATCATCAGCAAGACAGCAAGCAAACAATCATTTTAAGGAGAGAGGTTCAGAATCGACCGAAAGCAGAAAGCTAGGGTTAGACGTAGTACCGAACAGGGAGTCGATTGAAATGGAGCCAGAGCTGATCATCGAAGCCAGGCAGATTGGCTTCCTCATAATTAGACTCATGGATACGCTTAAGTACCTCGTTGTAAACGTCAAGCTTTTGCCTTTGATGTCGAGGATTCACATGGGCCAACGAGTCCACAGCTCTACTCCCGCAGCTCTCTGCGTCCTCTTCAATCGCCATTGGGGAGTGTCGCAACAACCACTCCAGCTAACCAAAACAGATTCACAGGAAAAAAAATGGAGGGCTCAAATATTCATTAAATAAAAATTGGGAAAACGAAATTGAAAAAGAAACGGACTAAGCTTCTTATTATCACTTGAGAAAAATCGGAGGGGAACAAGAAAATGGAGAGTGAAACAACGAGATGAGACGAAAACTCCAACTATAACATAAACGTGGTCTAATTCTGTTACAAGTCCCTGTATGCATATATATTTAGAATTTAGTCATTTATTTTTAATCCGTTATTCTGTTACAAGTAGCACACATGATCAATATGACTAAATTATATGAACTAAAAATGATCAAATTTTTCGAACAATAACTAAATCTACAATTTATACATTGAATATAACTAATTTTAGAATTTGACTTAATAGGTTTTGTTGCATAACATAAGAACTAAGAGTAACCAAATTAAAATATAAGTATTAGATTAGTAACTTATGCATAATATAGAAACTAAAAATAAAATTTTAGCTTTATTTTATTATTCATGAATCCCCTAAGACTATAACAAAAGCATGAATAAACTATAAAATTAATCACTTAAACTTTTATACATTTTTTGGGATTAATATTTTATTATTTTTATTTTTATTTAATTAAGATGTAATTATTAAAAGTAAAATACCATTAAACCATTAATAGATTGTCGATATAACATAGCGAATACATAAAATAAAATAAAAAAAATAAAAGATAAATTACACAAATAATAGCTGAAATTTGGAACTATCGATAACAATTTTAAAGTAGACAATCGAAAAAAATTAAAATAAGTTAGTTTTAAATTTCAGCATAATATAGGGATAAGAATTAGATTAAACTATTGTTTTTAATGTAGACCTTGCGATTTATGATACAATGGAGTATATAAAATCTCTGATCAATACAATCTGATTGGGGCAAGTTTCACCTAAAGATGGCAACGGGTTAGGTTAATGTCTGGTTTTTAGTCAACCCAATCCGATTTAAAAGTATGCATCATCCACTTGAATTCGATCAAACTTAAAAATATATATATCATCTGCCCGACTTTGATTCGATCCTTATTTTTAGAGTATAAATTCGGTTCGACCTGATCCGATATAAAATAAGGACTTAATTAAAAATAAAAAATTAAGAAAATTACATTATTATCCTTGGATCGGGTCGGATTTTTTTCCCCTCCACCCGAAGCCAACTCGACCCGACCGGAACCTAATTTTTTTATTTTAAAAAATTGACCCTATCGAGTCAGGTCGGAACCCGTCGGATTCGAGTTAAATTGTCATCTTTAGCTGCAGCCATGGCTTCTCTCCTTGTAACAGCGGGTGCCAAGGGTGAAAGGCGGTCCCTCCCCAATGCTACTATCATGATCCATCAACCTTCTGGTGGGTACAGCGGCCAGGCTAAAGATCTCACCATTCATACCAAGCAAATCGCTGGTGTGTTGGGATGCATTGAACGCTTTTGTAATCCAAGCACACGGGGCAATTGGTCGATGTGATTCAGAAGAATATTGAGAGGGATTGTTTTATTACACCCCCGAAGACCTAAAGAGTTTGGGTTAATTGATGAAGTCATTGATCAAAGGCCAATGGCTCTAGTCATCGAAGCTGTAACTAAAGGAATCAAACATCATTGATCATTTGTATAATTTTTTTTTATAATCGGTTTAAGAGTCACTTTTTTTCCTGTAGTATACATAATTTATCATTTTCGCTCTTATCATATTTTCACATCAATTTAGTTTTCGAAATTACTCAACTGCATTAATGTTTAAAATATTTACTATTGTTTAAGGTTTTAAGTTTGAATTTAGGGTGTATATTATAGGACGATGCACTTAAACAACTTTGAGGTTTAAATAAATGAGAAATTATCATACGGGCGAAATTGATAAATTTGGTCTACTATATAGGCAAAGGTGACCTTTAAATTGGGACATGGGTTGGGCAGTAGTACTTTGCAGAAATAGCTAAACCAGAGTTCCAAAGTGAGAAAAATATATACGGGGTTAACTGATATTGTCCTTTAAGACGAGCACGTGGGTTGGGTCGTACAGTTATAAAGCAAAGCATGAATTCAAAGGTGTGCCCCAATGGAAAGATGGTGATACACTCTCCGCATTGCCGAACCAGAAATTCAACCACCATTAATCAAGGAATGTCTCGCTCTCACTCCCTCTGACCAAAATTACTTAGGCACTCACTCAGCCACACTGTTTGTAGAAATAGCAACTGTTGTTCTATCCGATTTTGTTGTATTTTTGTTCATGCTTGATGTACAGCAAGTGATGTGTTGGTTTATGGTGATTAAAGGGTTGGGAAAAAAATTGTTGAACATTTGTAATTTCCTCCTCATTTAGATAGAGTGTCATCGATCGACTATGTTCTGAAAGTAGGGATGGAATGAATTTTATATCTCTCCTTTATCTTGAGAATGTCAATGATATTTTATTATATATATATATATATGTGTGTGCGTGTGCGTGTGCGTGTGCAAGGGAAGAACCCAAATATATGTGAATCTAGGTTTTCCAGTATTATACAATGAATCCAGAAACATACATACATATTACGCATCCATTCCAGGAATTTCACTCACGCTTATCTAGCACTGAAATTCTAGGTTAACAGGTTAATGGTTCTCTCTGCTGACTACTTTGGCATAACAAGATCCTGTGCCCTGTAAACTATAATAGCTGAGTACTGAGCAGCCGATGAAACTCCGAATCGAATTACCGCTACCAAAACATGTCACTGATCATCACTTGAGTGGCGTAGCTTCATTAGTTTGTCTCTTAACAATGCTGCACAAAATTCGTTTTATAGTGTAAAACACTAAGATCTTCAATGTTTGATAACAAAGGAAAGAAATAGCATTGTGAGTTGGTAATTCATTTCGTAGATTCTGAAATTTTTATCTTGGTTACGAGATTATATTCTATGTTTATTACCTGCATCATTGTACCTTTCTTCATCGACAGCTAAATCTATATTTCTCACCAGATTCAACTCCTCCGTTAGCAAATCCGGGCCATCTGCAGCACTGGAAGCATAAAACCCTGCGTTTAGTTAACAGAAAACAACCTATTTTTGAGAAAACTCCAAAGGCAGGCATATACAACGAACCTGTCGAGCAATACATCATAAGTAGACTTTCTATCACACACTCTGCACATCCCATAGCCAATTCTAATAGCATCTTCCAAGAAAATCTGTTTACTTACATAGATAGGAGCCTGCATACAGAAGACCACAAATTAGAAGCTTCAGAGAAGCAGTCGGTTGAAGTGAATACACACAACCTTGAAAAAAGGAGCCATTTGACATTGAAATAAGAGAGAGATTGCAAAACTGGAAACATTAGACCAACCTACTCAAATCAAACCAATTAGTCTCTATTGAACTTCAAAGCTGATATTTATACCAGTATATCTCAAACACAAAGAGAAAACAAGTCTGGGTAGTGATCAAGACATAGTAAGACTAGAAACGAAGCAATTCCCCAGTACATACCTTGCATCTATTAGCCACATTGATGGCATCCGAGGGTCGTGCATCCACACTTATCACATCATTTTCCCCTGGCTGTTAACAAAAGAACCGACAATTGAAACAGGTGCCTTATAATTCTAAGGAAACAAACGAACTAAAACGATCTTTCAAGTTTTAACCACCTTGGTAAAATATAACTTTGCAAAATAAGTATTAACAACTCTTTCTGTAATTCTCACCATCTTAACCTGGAACAAAAACATGTACAAATCAATGAAAAGAGATATTACACTGCATCATGTACAATTTTCCTAGGTTAAAGTTAGTGCAACCGAGAATATCGATCACCATCACGAAAGTAAACCAACTCCATACTTTGTATTCAAGCCTCTCCACAACATGTTTAACAAGATGGAACTGATCTGGACAATCCTGCAAAATATAAACCACAGTCAAGAAATGAATACAAATGACATATGTTTAACTTATAAATAAGATCAAATGTTTAAAACAACAGATTAACATATTACCCCATTCTCAACTCCCAAAAAGGAAGCTATTAATTTTTCAACAGCGAATTCACCTACAAGAGCAGATTAATCATAAGGAAACAACAGATCCAACGAACGACAGCAATGTAATAACATGGTAAAATTGTTGATTTTCATGTTACCTACAATAATGGGTAGCAAAAAATCTCCATCACAAGAAATCTTAAGAAAAATAGTTGGACTGCGAAATCGACTAAGAAAGGATTGCCCAATTGAAGCAATTTTAGGCCTTGACATGGGATGCTGTCTCCTAGACGACAGCCATTTTATTTCCTCTTCAAATCCTTGCCTTAACATCCGGTAGTGCGAAACAGTTTCTGTTCCAACACATAACCCCAAAATTAAACATATTCCCAAATTTTCTTCACCCAATTCAAGGAAAAAAAGTTTCTTTTTTAAGTCAGACCTGAAACGAGAATAGAAGCTTTAAAAAACTGATGATCTGGGTCGTCCTCGTTGCTAAATTGAGACCCGAAGCTACCATGGATCGAGTGGCAAGAAATGAGGGCCCGTTTCGGATTAGGGCGGGGATTCGCCGTGAAATGTAAACGGATGGGAGAGGAGCGAAGCGGAGGAAAAGAAAAGAAGGGTGTTGGGTGATAAGCATCCGGTGAATCTGAGAAAACCCAGAAAGTGGAGAATGTACGGGAGCAAAACTGAGCACCGAGCATCGTCTCCGAGAGAGATGAAGGAGAACCGTTTGAGATTGGGAGGTTTTATATGGAAGAACAAGTAACCAATGACAGGGACAATAAAGTTTGTTGGAATTGGCAAAGAAAAGTGGATGGAACGCCGACCAGACATCCATACATGCGTTTCAAATATGTAAGATTCGACGCGGAAAGCCAAACTGTTAGGAGTGAGGATTTTTTTTTTAAGGGGGTATACCAATCATATTACCACTTAACTATAGGGTAATTGTTAATATGATCATCATATTTTTTATTTTGGTAATATGACTACAAAATTATTTAAGTGATTTCAATGTAGTCACTTGCTGTTAAAAACAAGCGGCGTAGCTGATGTGGTTATTATTGACTAACGATAAGTCAAAGGCCTAAATCAACTATACCGTCTACATTTAACGATAAGGGGTATATTGAAATAATTTAAATAATTATGTGATCATGCCAAAATTAAAAATATAGTGATCATATTAACACCAACCCTATAATTAAGTGATCATTTCCTTGTTGATGCATTTGTTGCTTTACCTTAAAACGAATCAAATAAAAAAAAGTAGTCAACGATATCCTCCCATAATTTTATTAAGAAACAAGACCTTGTATGGTCGAAGTTGCAGCACCAGCACTATGATCATTGGCAGTCCTCCGCTTATTAGTGTATCCATATCTCTAAACTCAGTCCACCACCCAAAATAACTAGTGTGTGTAAATATCAGAATAGGCTATAGTTTTTGAATTTACGATTATTATTATCAAATTTAACACTTTCTTAAATTTTAAATATGTCAAATATTAGATAGTGAAAAATTGAAATATTTTAATAACAAGGTTCAGAAATCGGATTCCTAATATTCACATAAAACTCACATGGTTGAAGATCCTTTGGTCTTTTAATAACGCCTAAGCCAAGTTTAATAGAGCACCGTAATACAAGTACTAAACAGATAAAGGGAAAAAAAAAGCTGCAAACATTGAAGATCTGTCCAAACTCCAAACTATTGAATACATCAACACTAACAAGACATAACAAGCTTAGAGATTGCTTCCGACTGAAACGCTTCACCTAGAACCACGAGAGTAAGGTGGAGAATACGAGCGGTCCCTTCTTGATCTTCCGCCACGAGGGGAATATCTTGGAGAATAATCACGACCTCGATATGGTGAGTGCCTTGGAGATCGACGATACGCATAGTCGTCATGACTACCACGATACCTGCCACGGTCACCCCGACCACCTTTTCCCCCAAATACATTAACATCACGAATATTAGTCACAATCACTGCGTCCTGTTTTCTAACAAATAAATTTATTTAAAATTTCAGAATTACCATAGTCTCTGGTATTTTTCAGTCCAAGATAATGCCCCGGTGTTGGAGTCCTTGGCCGTTTCCTACGTGACTGAAAAGAAGACAAAACACCTCAATATTCAACTAGGCAAATATTGGGTTAGCATCATGAAAATGGTTTAGGATCTACAACATTATATCATCAAAAACCTAACATGTTACTCTGAAAAAGGGGGAAACACTTCATTTGGAAGATCACCTGGAAGGTGAAAATGACCATTGAAAGAGAGGGAAACAACAAGCATGATACACATCCGGACACGACACGAGTATTTCCTATATTATATAAATGCCATACGCGATATACCATAACAGCCTGATTATAAAGTTGTTGTATTGGCCGTTGATTAGTTGAGAGTTGAAAGTGAATGCTGAGGTTGTGTAGTTGTTGGGCAAATTAGTTGCTAATTTAGTTGATCACATGTATTTTCAAGCTGTTTTAGCTGGCCATTGATCAAGCTTGTTTGACTTAAGTTGAGATGGATGATATCATCTTTGATTGCTGCCAACATAGCTGACACAATACTGTTCTGAATATAACCAGAAAACCTCCAGGTTAAGAAGGTGATAAACACACAAAACAATAAACTCTAAGAATCAAGGATAGAGTCAGAGTACCCTCTCCACAGTTACGTATCGACCTTCTAAAACTGATTGGTTGAGATACTTGATGCAGCGGTCGGCATCTTCAACACTGTCCATGGTAATAAAAGCAAAGCCACGAGATATGCGTGTGCGAGGTTCAACGACCAGAAAACATGATGCCACCTTCAAACAGAATCAACTCATTAATCATATATTGAGATGCGCTAGTAGCAATAAAATAATGAAAAAAAAGAACCCCAGAATTTTGAGTAAATTGCAGAAAAAGCAACCTTCCCCTCCTTGGAGAAGTGCTCTTCAACGTCCTTCTCTGTGACCCTTTGAGATAGACCAGTCACATAAAGCGTGTTGCCAGGATTTCCAGTTTCAGCCCTAACACAAATCCAAAAGAATATACAGTTTTATCAACAACAAAAAAAAAAGAATATAAACAGGTAAATAAATAACCCAGCATTCAAGTATGATAATACAAGATATGGTGATATAAGCATAAACACTGCATCTCAAGTCACAACCACACAGAGGAAAACAATGTCAAATCAAAACTGACCTGCCACGACTTCTTGACCTGGATCAGGAGAAAAGAGCCAAAACAAATCACAATAAATTAAAAAAAGAAGTGGAATACTTCACAATATGAATTTAAATCGAGCAGGTGGGCAACAGACCTGCCGGGACTACGTGATCGAGACCTATGCCTCGGCCTCGACCAGGAGCGGGATCTTGACCTAGACCTAGACCTAGGTCTAGATCTGGACCTTGACTGTTCTCTCCATGGAGAGGGAGAATGAGAATTCCTGATACAAACAGCAACATATTATATGAAGATGGAGATTGATAAAACAACAACTGATTAACAGGCTTTGAAGAAACATGAAGAGCTCGATATAATACCAATCATCAAAATCCCACATTGAAAGAAATAAAATATATCCATATTTTGAAGAAAAAGGAAAATGATTTGCAACATGGAAATTGAATCCCTCACAATGAAGCCCATTAAATCCATAAATCATCCCGACTTGTTCAATCTAGGGTTTCACCATATCTCATTCGCAAGAAATGAGGAAAATACATGCGTACCATAGCCACATATCAAAAGGCAAAATACATTGATGAGAGAAGAAGCTAACCTTTTACGAGGAGAATCCGCCTGCTCCATACCAAAAACGCATTTAAATTGAGGAATTCTAGACCATCTAAAATAAAAGGCAAAACCAAAGAAGGTGTGAACTAAAGAGAGAAAGATATTACCATTTTCTGACGAAGAGAAAAGGAACTCTTGAACGCGAGATAGATATAGAATCGGGAAATTTTAGGGTTTATGCGATCAGAGAATGATGCAAATGTCAATTAAATGTCGCCTTCGTTATAAAAATACTTAATATAAAAATAAGGGTAAAGTATAGTAATGGTAAACGAATTTTTCTAAATCATTCATTTAGGTCCCCAACGTTTAAAACTTGCAATACAGTCCTTCAACATTTAGTCCGTTTGCAATATGGTCCTCAACGTAACCGACCATTTGACGCCGTTACACTGCCGTTAGTACGTTTGCAATATGGTCACTAAACTTTTCAGGCGCTTTCATTTAGGTCCCCTAATTTTTAAAACTTGCAACACAATCATCAATTTCCAAAACATGTAAAAAATCCAATTCGTTCACGATATATCAGTCTCATAATCAACATGAACTTATTAAAAATAAAACGAGCTCACAGGACGCCGAAAACCACAGGTCGGATCAATACAATTCCAATAAACTAGTACCAGCAGTCTCTCGGATTGAGCTGACGATTTCACTATGTCGATACTCACAACCAATTCCCTGATTTAAAGAAAAACCAAACAAGAAGATCAAAACAATTAGCCTAGGACCCTCTTTCACTTCTATTCTGATGGATTGAATATCTTTCATAAGGAGTTCTAAAAAATTTTATTAAGAAAAAAGAAAGAAAATTAGATGGTTTTGGTTCAAAACTAACACTGAATATCCAGATCATTGACATTCAGTTCCAGAAACATAAAAATTTCAACAAAAAACACACAATGCGAGGTGAAAATGGAAAAGTGCGAAAGAGGAAAAGCTTACTTCTGGATAGCCCAAATTAAGGGAGAGGCTAAGAAATAAACGCAATCGGTGTTGCATTCCAACAATTCTTCCTCCATTTTTTTCTTTGTAAATAAAAAGCTGAAAGACAAAGCATTGCTTGGGTTTACAATTTTACATGGAGGAAAATTGAAGAACAAAAACCAAACGAGAGTGCAAGTGAGCGAAAGAGACTGAGAGATGAATATGTTGTTTGGGATTTCATTATATTTGATCATCTGTTGGAAAATCTTTAACCACAAGGATTAAACGAAGAAATTATTATATGTCATTTTATACAAAAATAATTACAGCTTTGTTGGTGACTTTCAACAATGATATTTAGTTCATCTTAGTAGTATTTGTCAACTCTGTTTTTCTAACCTCATTTTTTTTCTCACAAGCATTTCATCGAACATCTATGTTTCACCTGAGATGACATGTATCTAACATTACACCTTGAATCATTGATGGTCTAGATAGTCCATTGGTCGGGTCTTCTCTCAATGGACACTTATTCAAGTCAACACCTCCACATAATTTAAAGTTAGATTAGAATTTCTCATGCATCCCCGACTGAAAAGTTACGCTGGAAATTAGAAAAGAGAAGCGAAAAAGGAAATTCGAGATAGAAAAGGAATTTGGGGTTTATAATAAATTGAGGACTGTGTTACAAGTTTTAAAAGTTGGGGAACCTAAATGCAAGCGCCTGAAAAGCTCAGTGACCATATTGCAAACGTACTAACGGCAGTGTAACGGCGTCAAACAACCTGAAAACCATCCTGTAATACAACAACCACATTAACAATTTAATAATAACAGAACCATTCAAATTAAATTAGTAAACAAACAGAAAAGAGAATTATTTTTTTCAAATAGAAAAACACGGGGACCATGGCAGGAATCTAAGTCATTTTTTGATCTTTTTTGGGTCAACAGCATAGGACCATGGCAGCAAAAAGAAAAAAAAACACATGTGCATGGATAACTGTGTGAAAGTGTATATCAACCAAAACATGATAAAAATTGTTTTTGGCGTGTTCGATTAAAAAAATTGAACATTTCAAACTTTGTCAGATCAAGAAAACCATAAACAATGAAATACTACTCAAAACCCTAAAACTTACCACTTCTTCTTTGCTCATTCAACCCTAAAACTTTCTATCTCGCTTCGCTTTCAATTTTTCCCGATGTATTGATTCCGGAATGTATTCAATCGTGTGTTTTTTGCTAGAAGTTTGATTTTTGGAGAGTATTCAATCGATTTTTCTGGGAGAGTTTATCAATTGTATTTTTGGGATTTTGTTTCTCAGTCGTGATTTTGAGATTTTATTTCTCAATCGTGATTTTTGGAGAGATCTCAACCGCCTTCATGATTTTTAGGGATTAAGAAAATTGGGGATTTTCCCAGCCCATGTAACTGTTACGTAAAAAAAGAATTTTTTGGGTTATTGCCACGTTAGCAGGTTTACATGTAAGCAAAAAAAATCTTTGGTGGCAACAGCTGGCGTCCACGTCAGCTGAAACTAACGGTCCCATTAGTCAACATGGTCAAAGGTATGCATTGATAAAATTAAACAACTTCAATGGCCAATTTGATGCGAAAATATGATAGAAGCTAAATTGATAAATTCGGTCTACTACAAGGGCAACTCTGACCCTTAAGCTAATAAAACGAAGGTGACCGTATATTATTATTTTTTTAAATCAATGAGAAAATGTGGACAAAACACAAATATAAGTGATGAATCATGTTGTTAACCCATATGCTATATATGTATAACTATACGGGGTAACTATAGATACACCATTAATATATAATAGTATACACCATTAGTGAAATAAATGGTGATATATCATTAAAAATAAATGGATTTCATAATAACATTTTAAATAAATTTACATATAATTGATACATTAAATACTAATCAATGAAACAATGGTGTATATAATCAAACATTAATTATGATGATTTATGGGAGATAAGGTCCCGTCCTTCCACCACTTGCTCCTCCTCTTGGGATTGGGAGGTGACGCACAAAGGCCAACGTCTTCTTCTTTAACTATATATCGGAGTATATGTTAATTAGAATAATGGTTCTTTTAAGTATGTACATGGGCAAGAAAATATCGAATTCGGGTTAAATTGCAATCTTTATCTCAAACTAGATGAGCTGTTGACGGAGTTGTCTCTTCTCTCGTCTCTTCAACTACAACTACAACAGCTGCATTGATGATTTACCTTTTCTTTCTTTTCACTCCCTTCTCCTCTGCATCGTATTCCCTCCAATCGAACTCCGATAACGTACTACGTCCCTTACCAAATTGCCTCATCTGCTGAAGGGAAGGAGCAGGAGCAGCCTTCGACGCATCGAGAACATCGGATTCGTAACCGCGCTTTCTCCCGACGAATACCCTCCTTTTGAAATGTTCCGCAAATACTTGGGCCAGAAGTGAAGAAGCTTGCTTAGGTTTCCTTACGCTCGATTTTCTCTTTATCACGATTTGGCCTATGCATGAAACTTGGGGTGACACGGGCTCGTACCCCTCCAAACTATCATCCTTGGATAGCCTTCTAGCTTCCCTGGGAATAAAGGATACCGTCCGACCTGAAACTTTTTTAACGCCGAGGTTTATCGGCGGGTTTACTCGGAAACTGAACAGACCCTTGCTCCTCTGTTTCACAGGCTTCACCATCTCGAAAACTAGCCAAGCCTAAACGGGAGAACAGATCCAAAAGGGGTGAGATTGTGACCTCGTCACGTTCACACGAGATGGAAACCATGGAATTTGTTCGTTTTAAAGCTAGTAGCTTCGGCTCAGATCGATTTCCGTTAAAAATTTATATTTCTGGTTGGATCAGTTTGTCTGGTAAGCCCTTGAAAGTAGTAGCATCGTTCAATTAGTCAATATGAAATAACCTAGGTTAAAATAAAAAATTAATATTATCAAAACGGAACAAAATGATAGTTAACCGTATTCGTGTATTTTATTCAATAATCTATGCCTTAAAGCAGCTCCATTGCCGGTCATTCGTTGCATTTAACATTTCCTTTATAGGGGTTGAAAATTCCTGTGCTGACAACATGCATGCAAATAAGTTTAAAAGCGAATGCCATTTTTATCCTCTAATTACTACCAAAACAACAGTAGTTTAAGTATTTAACCCAGAAAAAGAATTACCATAGGTTGTTGATTGTTGCAGAGTCTTAGCTAGTTGAGTTAAGCATCGATAATCAACAATCACGATACATATATTCTTTTGTTTATGTTTGATTTCTATGCATTTGTTTTTGAATCCTACGAAATATAATAAAGTGATAATATGACATGTGTCATATCAGTAATTAAGTACATATAAAATATAACGTCAGCAGTATATTGACCGTTGGTCAATTAACGATTTTCTTTTAACATATATAAATTTTATGTATAAATTTAAGATGTATACCTTTATATTATCGATAACATTTGGTTCTATATTTTTTAAGAAAGCAAACAAACAAACAAACACTCTTACTAGGATGGAATTTTCAATGGAATAATCTTCATTTTCAATGTTTTTGGATTAACTTCATTATTAAGGCTTAAAAATTAAAATAATAATTTAAAATTTTCACAAAATCAAAAATTAGATAAAAAAAATGGAATGTTAGTTCAAGAAATTATATTTAGCACATTCAAATACACAAGACCATCATTGTTCTTATGTTTAAATTCCTAAAATTTTCTAAAGAAATAACACATAATAAAAAAAAAATTCTAAAATTTCAGTATAAATATATCGAACGTCATAAAATGGAAAATTAAAAATAAAAAGAAAACACATTGAGTATAATTAGGCAAACCATATAAACAAATTTTCTAAACAAAAAACACATATTTTAACCATCGTCATTTTGTCAACACCATCGTTAAATCCATATTTCTTCATAAAATCCCAGTTCCCCAATTCAATCAAAAACCTATAAATTTTGATGTAAAATGGCTTACATCTATAGCTGTAGAGAGTGCGGAACCGATCTGAACCTAAGGACGTTCCATTTGTTCCCTTCGGATTTCTACTTCGAGGCGGGGAACCACGACACCCTTTCTTTCGCCATGATCGACGAGAGCAAGTTCAAGTTCGTGAAAGAAAACAAGTTCAAGCCCTTTTTTGAGACCATTGAATACTGGGGAATTCAACGGAACAGAATCAAGATCAGGTGCTATAGTTGTGGAAAACTCTTGGGTCATATTTACGACGACGGTCCTCCTCTCAGGTATAGTCCCAATCAATGGTTTTTGGGGCCGAGTCAGGTGATTCCCAGAGCTCCTAGGTATCGGTTCAAGATTAAGTCGCTTAAGATTACGACTGAAACTTGAATTTCTTTTTTTACGAAGATTGAAGTTTTCTGGATTCTTCTGTTGATTTGTTTATATGTACGTGTGATATATATGTTATATGTGAAGCTTAATTACTCTATTTGATTAATATAAGATATATTTTTACAAGAAAACCAATATCGGCATTTTGTTTAATTTATCATATTGGTTACTCATTATTACTTTTACCTACAAACACATGTCTGTCTATGAGATTTTGGTAGCTCTTGGGCGAACCAAAAAATTAGGCCCCTATAAAAGATTTAAATTATAGTTTTATTTATGGTTTTTACCGCGTTGCCTTTATCACTATTGTGGACATAACGAATGATATTGCAGTCACTACAAGTATTGTGATTGTAAATTTTTAAAAACATATGATATTGTGGACATAACAATTGTAGCTATTGCAGTTTTAGACGATATCGTTATCACTGAATAACGGTCATTGTTGTGGTTATAGGCCGTTATATAAGTAATTGTTCCTAATAACCTGTGTTGAAAAAATAAATTTTAAGGTTAGTTCCATAATAAAAAATATTTAAAAAATGGGTCCCTAATAACAAATATTAAAAGAAAAAGTAAATTTTAGGATAATGCTCATAGTAAAAAAAATTATTGGAAAAACCTAGACATTTATAAAAAAAAATACTGAAAAAGTTAGACTCATAACAACAAATAAATATTAAAAAAGAAATTGAATTTTAAAACTACACTCCTAATAATAAATATTGAAAAAATTGGGCCCCTGATAATAAGTATTAAAAAAATTGAGCCTTTAGTAACAAATGTTAGAAAAAAAATATTAACAAAAAATTATACACTTATAACAATATTAGAAAAAACATATAAAATTAAACCCCTAATAATAAATATTAAAAAAGTGAACACACAATAATAAATATTAAAAATAATTGAATCCTATAATTAATATAAAATTATATTTTGTATAAGTATAATATATTATAAAAATTCTAAGTCTTGGGTAGGTGTCCCTCCTGCCTAGACTCAGATACGGCTCTGCGTGCAAATGATGTGGTATTGTTTTTAGGTTCATGTTAGCAAAATAAAGATGTTTCGGTATACAAGAAGGTTGGGAAAGTTTAAAAAAAATATCCATTTGTTTTAGGTTTGATGGTATACGATGTTTTTTTTTAATTTTAATATGACTCATGTATTCATTTTACACTCAATGTGACCAAGAAAGAAAAAAATAGTGATCAAGAGTGTATTGGTCCTTAGTTCGAGCAATTATATTTGTGCTTGTAGGGTGTTTCTTGTCAATTATTAAAAGAAATTATGAACGTATATTACTTTGTAATCATCCTAAACTATTCAAAAGAAAGAAAGAAAAATCAATCTAATCCTTTAACCAACAAAATTGTTGGTAAAAGATTTGTTGTTGTTATTTTTATATCTCGGGTCCGAACACTGAGAATGCTAGGGTTGTGAGCTTTCAATCTCAAATGGTTGAGAGTTATCTTTGAACAGATACTGCCTTGTGCTTACTAATATAAAAACACAATTTTGTCAAAATTCCCATTTGATTTTTGTTATTTATTATTGTTAATTGTTAGTATTAACCTAATTATTATCATTAGTACTACTTCTCAATATTAGTTATGGGTTTTTGTTATTATATATATCCATTTTGGGTTTGATATTATCATATTATATATATATAGAGAGAGAGAGGGGGGTGTTGGGAAATAAATGAGTAACAAGTAATTTCCCTATAACCATATTAGTGAGAATGCGAAATAAAAACAGAAAAATAATACCCGAAAAATTGATAACGGAGTTCAGCCAATTGTGCCTACGTCTCCGGACTGCTGCAGATCTTTTACTAAGAGAGAAAATTTACAAGTGTTTACAAAACACTCACTACTCACAAGAAAGCTCTCTAGTATTGGGAGAAAGAAAATGATTTTTGGGATAATCTTTGAAGCTAAATGAGCTAGGGTATTTATAGTTGAAGGTTAAAGACTAATCTTATAAATACCCTAAAGTCCAGTGACTAATAATAATTATCCCATTACAATTTTTCAACAAACATCTACCAAACTTTTAAAAACCATTTTTCAAAGAAACATTTACCAAACTTTGAAAACCATTTTCAAAGAAACATTTACCAAACTTTGAAAATCATTTTTTCAAAGTTGGTTGCCAAACTTTGAACTTTTAACAATCTCTCACTTGAAGACTGATTTTAATTTGTTTTCACACCTCAATCAATGCAGCAGCTTTTCTAGTCTTGTTACTCTAGCATGCCAACTGAAGTTGAACACAACTTCAGTTTGTCCGTGGTCACCGTCTTTGTTAATATGTCTGCCGGATTTTGAGCTCCACTGATCTTTTCAAGTTTCAAAATCCCATCTTCCAGAAGAGACCGGATAAAATGATATTGCAATTGTATATGCTTCGTCCTGGAATGAAAAGACGGATTCTTTGCTAGATGTATAACACTTTAACTATCGCAATACAAGACATTGTTTTCTTGTTTCTTGCCTAACTCTTCCAAGAAACTTTGGAGCCAAACCATCTCCTTGTTGGCTTCCGTAACATCGACATATTCTAATTCAGTTGTGGAGAGAGCAAATATCTTCTGTAGTTGAGAAACCCAACTCACTGCGGTTCCTCCTAGAGTATAGACATACCCTGTAATGCTTCTTCTGATGTCAACATTTACGGCTAAGTCAGCATCTATATAGCCTGTCAGTATTGTATCTCCACCTTTGAAACAAAGTGCTTTGTTTGTGGTGCCCCACAAATATCTGAGGATCCATTTAACTGCTTCCCAATGTACCTTGCCCGGATTATTCATGTACCTGCTAACAACTCCCACTACTTGAGCAATATTTGGTCTGGTACAAACCATGGCATACATCAGACTTCCAATTTCTGAGGCATACGCACCTTCACCATGTGTGCACGTTCTTCCTCCGTCTTTGGTGACTATTCTTTGGAGAGTCTGAAATGAACACCTAAATGTGTACTTACTGGTTTAGCATCTTGCATGTTGAACCTGGAGAGTACTTTGTTGATGTACTCAGCCTGTGATAATATCAAAGTCCCTGACTTTGTGTCTCTCTTGATCTTCATCCCAAGAATTTGCTTTGCAGTGCCCAGATCCTTCATAGCAAATTGCTTCGACAATTTTTGCTTCAAGTTTATAATCTCTTGCATGTCTGAGCCTGCAACGAGCATGTCATCAACGTACAACAATAAAATAATGAAGCTATTGTCGAACCTCTTGATGTAGAAACAATGATCTGCTTGGCATCTGGTAAAACTATTGCTACTCATGAAGCTATCGAACTTCTTGTACCACTGTCTAGGAGCTTGTTTTAAACCATACAAGCTCTTCTTCAACCTGCATGCCAGGTTTTTCTTGCCTGCCTCTATGAAGCCTTCTGGCTGCCTCATATAGATTTCTTCCTCCAAATCTCCATGAAGGAAAGCTGTCTTTATATCTAACTGCTCAAGATATAAATTCTCTGTAGCTACAATTTTCAACACCAGTCTAATTGTCGATAGCTTCACGACTGGAGAGAAAAATTCATTGTAGTCAATACCTTATTTTTGCTGAAAGCCTTTGACAACCAATCTTGCTTTGTAGCGTTTGCTCCTATCGTGCTCTTCTTTGATCCTGTAAATCCACTTGTTATGGAGTGTTTTCTTACCTAGTGGTAATTCAGTTAATTCCCACGTCTGATTTGACATAAACGAATCCATCTCATCTTTCATGGAAGACTCCCATTTGATTGAATCCTCCACTTGCATTGCTTCATCATAGCACTCTGGTTCACCATTGTCACTCAACAACAAGTAGTGCAAAGAAGGAGAATACCTTTGGGTTGGTTTATAAATTCTGGAGAAGCGTCTCAGTTCTGGTGTGACTGGTTCTTCTTGAACTGCTTCAGGAGTGATCTGAAAATCATTTCCAGAAATCTCCTCAAACTCAAAAAATTCCTTTGTTTCAGCTTCGGTGTTGGAGCTACTTGATTCCATGGTTGACCTGTCTTTGTACATCACATTTTCATTGAAAATGACATCTCTACTTTTGATGATCTTCCGATTTTCATAGTCCCAAAACCGGTAACCGAACTCATCACCACCATAACCAACAAAGATGTATTTGTTGGACTTGGCATCAAGTTTACTTCTTTCAGCAGAATCTATTTGTACATAAGAAAATACAACCAAACACTCTTAAGTGTGAAATGTTTATTTCTTTCTTGCTCCAAACTTATTCTGGTATTCTTCCATCCAAAGGAACTGAGGGCCCACGGTTGATCAGGTAAGCTGCAGTGTTGATAGCTTCAGCCAATAGAAATTTAGGTAATCCAGCATGTATCCTCATGCTTCTGGCACGTTCATTCAGAGTTATGTTTATGTGCTCTGCTACGCCATTCTGCTGTGGTGTCATGGGAACTATTGTCTCCATCTTGATCCCATTGTTTGCGCAGAAATCTTTGAATCTACGATTTATGTACTCTCCTCCATTGTCAGACCTCAACCGCTTGACTTTCAGACCAATCTCATTTTCCACCATGGCCTTCCATTTTCTGAAGGTATCAAAGACTTCTGATTTCTTCTTCAGAAAATAAACCCACACATTCCTTGTAGAATCATTGATGAAGGTGACATAATATAATGAGCCTGCAAGAGATGGAACTGGAGATGGTCCTCATACATCAGCATGAACCAACTCTAACTTTTCAGCCTTGGGTGTCTTTACCAATCTTTGCAAAGCTGACTTTCTTTTGTTTGCCAAAGATGCAATCCTCACATAGTCTGACATCTACATTCTTTAGATCCGACAGCTTCCTTTTTGACAAAAGTGTATCCCTTTCTCGCTTATATGACCAAGCCTTTGGTGCCATAGGTTTGATTTTCCATCAGCATTTGCTACAGTAATGATATTCTCTAAGTTTGAGGTTACATAGAGAGTACCAGTCTTCTTACCACGAGCAATGACGAGTGCTCATTTGGTAATCTTCCATTCACAGCCTGAAAAGGTTGTGTTATATCATTCTCCATCAAGCTGTCCAACAGAAATCAAATTTCTTTTGAGACCATGAATATGTCTCACACCTTTTAGCGTCCAGGTGGTCTGGTTTGGCAACTTTAGTCGGATATCTCATCTTCCAACGATCTTCAAGGTTTCATCATCAGCTAGATGAACCTTCCCAAAATCACCACTGGAATAGTTCTCCATGATTTCTCGACATGGGGTGGAGTGGAAAGATGCCCCTGAATCCAAGATCCATGATTCAATTAGACTGTTGACACTTAGAATCATGTCATCACCTGTCTCTTCTGTCACGTTGGCAGAATCCTATGCGCCGGTATCTTTCTTCAGTGCTCGACAATCTCTTTTAAAGTGACCCTTCTTGCCACAATTATAACATGTATATTCTTTCTTTCCCATTCTTGATTTTCTCTTTCTGGATTTGGATCTGCCACGATTTGAATTTCTCTCTGAAGTTCTCCCTCTAGACTCCGTGTGCAAGGCTGAGGAGGTTGATGCTTCACCCGATTCTCTTCGTCGAATTTCTTCACTCAATACCAGATCCCGAACATCGTCGAATTTTAATTTGTTGTTTCCCGACGAGCTGCTGACTGCTGTAACAGTAGCATTCTAACTGTCTGGTAGAGATGATAAGAGAATTAAAGCTCGAACTTCATCATCGAATTCAATTTCCACGGAACTCAACTGGGTTGTGATTGTGTTGAGTTCATTTAGGTGTTGAGCCACCGATGCCCCTTCCGTCATACGTAAATTGAATAATCGCCTCATTAAATGAACTTTGTTTGAGGCTGATGGCTTCTCATACATACTGGAGAGAGTCGACATAAGACCCGCCGTGGTCTTTTCCTTTGCTATGTTGAAAGCAATATTTCGGGACAACGTCAGTCGGATAACTCCGAGGGCTTGTCTGTCGAGAAGAGCTCAGTCTTGATTCTTCATGCCCTCTGGTTGCTTTCCTAAGAGAGGTTGATATAGACTTTTCTGGTACAAAAAATCTTCAATCTGCATCTTCCAAAAGCCAAAGTCTGCACTATCGAACTTTTCAATTTTCACCTTCCATTCGTCTGCAGCCATCGCTTCCACTCGAATCTGGCTTCGTTTGGATCGTTTTCGATAATTCTTGCGAACCACCGTGTATTAGAACACCTCCGTCGACAAATTCATATCGCCGACAAAATTTTTACTATTCACGTGAATATTAATGAATAGTAACCTCGCAAAAAATTGATAAAATTCACAACCAAAAGCTTTGATACCAGTTGTTTGGAAATAAACGAGTAACATGTAATTTCCCTATAACCAGATTAGTGAGAATGCGAAATAAAAATGGAAAAATAATACCCAAAAAATTGATAACGGAGTTCAGCCAATTGTGTCTACGTCTCCGGACTGCTGCAGATCTTTTACTAAGAGAGAAAATTTACAGGTGTTTACAAAACACTCACTACTCACAAGAAAGCTCTCTAGTATTGGGAGTAAAACGTAATTTTGTTAGAATTCCCATTTGATTTTTGTTATTTATTATTGTTAATTGTTAGTATTAACCTAATTATTATCATTAGTACTACTTCTCAATATTAGTTATGGGTTTTTGTTATTATATATATTCATTTTGGGGTTTGATATTATCGTATTATATATATATAGAGAGAGAGAGAAGGGTCTTTTGTTACGATATATTAAATAAATATTAAACATACATATAATGTTTAAAAACATGTAATACATATACTCGATAGGCCAAAGAGAAGTACGCTGAACTGAAGCAATCTTAATCGAACCCGACTTTTATAAAGGGATATTGGCATTGGGACAACAACAACTCGAAATGGCCAAACTTAATTGGCTTTTTGCACTTGAAAAGAAAATAGACCTCTCGACGTGGGATCCAGCAAAAATATTTCAAATGTTGGACAATGTGGTGTGGAGGAAAAGATGAAACACACAACAGAAATGTGAGAAAAATTGGAGCAACATACGGCTAATGAGATGACGGATCCAAATTCAAACAAGAAGAAAGAGTAGAGAAAGAGAAGGGAAAAAACCCAAAAGCACTATTGAAAGTGGGATCCCAGGAACTAGAAATCAAGGTAGCTTTGGACTGGATAAGTAGCTGAACAAGTAATTGTGATGAGATCACAAGTACATCTTTTTCGAGGCAACATGCTCTTTGAACGATCTCAAGTTGACTGCAAATTCGGAATGGATGTTTCGATACCACGGTTGAACGCTTCAAGCTTATTACTACTTCTGAAGTTGACATATCAACAATTTTAAAGAATCATTGCTCAAATGGTCTGAGATGAGAATCAAACATCTGACAAGTAAATATAAAATTAATTTATATCTAAATTAAATTCTGCAACTCACATCCAAGCATCGGTTCTAGCCTAGTGGCCGGGCGGTGTGATTTATAACCTGTTAAACGCAGGTTTGATTCCCACACATCCCATTCCCATGAATTTTTCTTTTCTTGCTAATTTTGCATCCAATCTGATGGTGACATATGGCAACATTTGATTGGGTGAAAAATAAAATAATTAAATTTAAAAATATCCTCCATTCATATTGTAACACGTGTCATAATACGATTAGATGATTAATTTTATTTTAATTTATTCAAATTATGATTAATTTAATAGAATATATAACTAAGAGTGACCAAATATGTAATTAATCCAATTTTACTAACAGCCATGTCGTTAACTGTTGACGGTGAGTGGCCTGATTGAAAAAAATTTAAAAATCATTGTCAAAACAAAAAGGAACTATGGATGGGTGGTCACTGTTATAGTTTACCCTAAAAATAATTTATCTAGAAATTGAGAACCTAACGTCACCGACTCCGTCATAAAATGGGAAGAAGACTTAAGAAGGCAAAATTCAGCAATAACAACTTTAATTAAGCTGGCCGTACACGAATTTTCTAACAATGACGCGTTTTAGAAACTCTGCAGAACGCCATCGTCAGCTCGGTTTGCCCCCATAAAATCCCAGTTCCTCCGAGCAAAAATCTTAAATTTCACAAGCAAAAATGGCTTCCATCTACAGCTGTAGGGAGTGCGGAACGGACCTGAACCTAAGAACAACCCATTTATTCCCTCCAGATTTCTACTTCGAGGCGGGAAACAAGGGCACCCTTTCTTTCGCCATGGTCGACGAGACCAAGTTCAAGTTCGAGAAAGAAGACAAGTTCAGGCCTTTCTTCGAGACCATTGATTACTGGGGAATCCAACGGAACAGAACCAAGATCAAGTGCAATAGCTGCGGGAAACTTGTGGGTCATGTTTATGATGACGGCCCTCCTCTCACGGATAGTCCCGGTCAATGGCATTTTGGGCCCAGTCAGGTGATCCCCAGAGCCCCTAGGTATCGGTTCAAGACCAAGACACTCAAGATCACCACTGAAACTTGAAGAATTTCTCGTGGTTGAAGTTTATGGGTTTTGTGGATAGTTTGAATGGCGGGTTTTCCTTTTGATGTGCTTATGTGTATGTATGTATGTATATCATATATGCCAAGTTCGATTACTCTATTCAATGAATATAATATATTTTTATACCAATTAAAGAAAACCCATCTCATCGTTCCCTTTAAATTTATCAGAATGATTACTAGTCAATACTTTTAGGTCCGGTTAATGTTGTATCGTTCTTAGGTTTTTGTTGGTTCAAATTCAGATATGAAACTAATGAACAGAACAGAAACTTAGTTCCAGTTTTGTCAAGTTTTTCCTACGGTATCAGGAAAGTCTCTTACCATAAAGAGATTTTTATTGGTATTCTCTGCAATTTGCCTTGCTCATCGCTGTCCTCATTCATCTGTTAAATATCAAAATCCAAACCATTAGAAGGATTTCGAGTCGAGGTTGCTGGTAGGTATGTGTTTGGTTGAACAAATTCAGTCTGCAATAAGGATTCTTTGTTCCAACTTGAAATTGCATCTACCAGTGAACTTTTAGTTGCATCCATGACCATGTATGCTGGTGACTGGTGAGGAACAAAACTCAGAACCAAGGAACACTGAAGAAAACAGTCATCGAAGCTGCAGCACCCCACAATCTGTTGGTAGGATGATCCGATACTCATTTAGCTTTATGACGAAATTCGTCACAGAAAACACTTATCACCTTACTGATTCATGTTGATCTGTTGATTATATAGCAATCATACTCATCCATTTGATTAGAAGAAATCATATCTAGCTGATTTTGTATTGGCATTAGAAAGCCAGGAGTCTGTTTTGGTAAAGTCTATAGCATGCCTAAACATGAGTTCGATAAGAGTCACTTGGTTAACTTTTCCGAGATCAATATTGTGCAATGTGTAGGAGGAAGATGACAAGAACTTCGAGGAGTCGCTAAGTGATGAAGATTACAACACTAAGCAGAACATCACAGCCCCAGCTAATAACAGCAAAGGCAATGGAAAGAACAATGAAGTTGGGTGGGGATAAAATGGTTTGTAAAATCTCTCTTCAATATATTGGCCCCTCTGATCATGATGAGAATAAATATTCAAAGGAAATCATACTATAAACAATCTCGGCACTAAATCTCTGTGTCATACAGTTTTCTTAAGGAAACATATGAAATTCCAGAAAATTTTGTTTGAGAAATCAGCAGATGAAAATAACAGAACTAAATCCTGCAGAGAATTGATACCATAGCAGGACATAGACATTGTCTTTGCAAAGTTGCAATACTCGGGCTTTTTATTTTCCCTAAAATACCCCCATATTCGACAAACCGGTGTTGGAACATATTGGTATACAACATTCATCCTGAGTTGGAAAAAGATGTTGCAAAATCTTAGCTCATCTTATGAAGTCGTAGTTAGTAGTTTAGAACAAGTTATAAAACGCCTTTATTCGTTGTACAATGTTGGTGGGACTCTAAGACCTGCTTTTCAAACATCATGTGCAGGTGGACAAAGAGCAAGTATGCCTACTTCAACCGACCAGCTGTTGAGTCTGCAGACAATCGAAGGTGATGAGCATCCACTTTTCTCGATTGACCAGATCTGATTTCACTAACACTGTTGAGAAGATTGTTGGTATTGTTGTTGGTAAAATAGTGTGATGTAGAGAAATTGTTTGCATCTCACATCACTGACATACAAGTTTGGTGGAGGGTTTTGAAAAAAAAATCAACAATATTAAGACTTTCACTTATGTCGAGTGTAAATTAATTGATCGTATGCATAGAGGCATCCATTTTGCACCCTCCATTACTGATCGTATGCATAGAGGCATCCATTTTGCACCCTCCATTACTGATCATATGCAAGAATAGAGGTTTTATTTTGTTACAGCCAATCAACTACTAATTATGCATGTTCACTTCATGCAATGTAAGATGAACTGTTACTGATGCAGAGATAGGGATGGTAGACGGGTGGGTAGATATGGATACTCTTTTTTTCATCTTTATATCTACCTAATATTTTGTATTTACCACCTACCAATTATTTATTATAGGTAAAATATTTAAATCTACATCCGTCCACGTGGGTATATTTTCAAATTGATCCCTACATCTATTACCCAACTAGATATCCACCGTCCATTTGGTATCCGTCTCTATTCACCTATATTTATCAATTTGAGATAAGAGAAACAATTGTCTTCTACAAACTCTATATCCTAATATTTGGTTAAATTACAAGTTATGTCTTATAAAATCTTAAGATTTATAAAATAATCTTTAAAATTGTACCTAAATTCATAATGGTTCAAAATTTATATGATGGGTAGTTAGTGGGCGGCAGTAACGGAGCCTAACTAAATATTGACATGGGTCAAAATATTGGACTATTTAGAAAAATATAAAGAGTTATTAGGTATTTATAATTAAAATTAATCACAAACCAAACGACATCAGTGATTAAGGGATTGTTGTTATCCTTGAGATCTTAAGTTCGAGCACTGTGCATGTAGGGGTTGAGCGTTTATTGTTAAATAGTTGATAGTCTTTGTACATATATTACCTTGTGCTCACCCTAAATTTATATAATAAAAAAACTCAAAATTCACAAGATAACACCTAATTTATCTAATATTTAAACTTACAATGACCTAAATTGTTATTAAACCAAAATTTTTGAGAACACGGAAATATTCTTCTTTAGTTCGATCCTTACTTAATAAAATATTCAATAAATTCTTATATTTTTTAATTTAAATATTTATTTTTACATGAACCAAAATACTATTAGACTAAAATTATATCAAATATATAAATTTTAACAGGGTCGAAGCCCCTTTGGACCCTCACTAAGCTCCGCCCCTGGTAGGCGGGCGGATGTGGGTGGGTAAGATCTCAAACCCATCAATTACCCACTATCAACAGAGGTATGGTTTTTTACAGTCACACCCGTCACTACTCACTAAACTTATACCTATCCCAAGATACAAAATCTACGAAATTATATCCGTGTCCCTATGCAAGCAACAACAAGCATGTTTTCAAATGCAAATCTTCCTTTGCTTCGCTGGAATTCATGTTCCATGTTCGCCAGCACTGCATTTTCTTATCACATACAGGAATATCTTGAAGCCATGCGTACTTATCTTTTTTTTAAAAATGAATCGCTTTAATATTTTAGAGATATTTTGCGAACATGGTCGGTTCGTGATTGGCCGGTGCAGCCTGATACCCTCCTCGGCTCTATCTTATCGGTTCAAGTTCATTGATAATGTTTAAAGAATAAAATAAGCAAAATTATCCAATCTGAAAAACAACCTCAGATAAAACAAAGATATTGATTTTGTTTAACTTTTAATTTTACTATGCACGATTATAAATCCACATTCCATAGAATAAATATCCTATATTATTATGGTATGTAAAGTAAAAACATCCCAAAAATATATATTTGAAACTTAAATTAAATAAATATTTTTAATTGGTCTAGTGGGATGAGGCACTAGGTCCTTTAAATAAGGTCAAGGGTTCGAATCATGGCGTTTACGAAGGGAACAAATTGGATTTGGAGAATCGCCTTTACTTCTACAGTATCTGATATGAATTAATCAGTTAATAGACTAGATATCATTGATTAATTAATTTTAAAAAAATGGAAAAACTTCCTACGGAAATGGTAGCCGAAATGGTCAGCTATGAATGAATGGAAAAACAAAACCCGACAGGAACAACTCAGCTATGAGTTCTTATCCTTCTAACGATGTGGACAGGGAGGGGACTGAAAATTCTTTAATTTTAATCTCTCTCACATTTCACGATGATAAAGTATCATATTTCGAGTCGAAAATGACGAAAAAGGAAGCAAATTGTATACTTCCATTTCATGCTAATCATGTAATGGATCTAAGTGATTTAAGATATTATAGGTTTTTAACTTAGGGTTAATTTTTGGGAGTTGTGAAGTGATTTAGATAAAGTCTAGATTGTATATTAGCAATTAATTAATTAATTAATTTAAAAACATATATATACATATTATGTGAGTGGTTAACCTTTATCGTTTATCCATTCAAAAAAAAGGGAAAAAAGAAGAAGACGAAATCAATCATTCGAATTCTCTTGTTTCTTTTTCATGAAGGAAGTATTCGAATTCTAACACCTGTATTCTGTTGGTCACCGGAACCTTGTTTCCAATTCAACAATTACCCGAAGCGAAGAAAGGGGAAAAAGAATGGATTTTTACGGACGCCCACCTCGTTTTTCTTTGTCACCATGTTCTTCGTTTGGAGATTTGATTGGAAATGTGAAAGTTTTTTGCAATTTCGCTGTTTCCGCCATCATTGGGAACATTTTCTCTGCCATCTTAACATTTTTCTTTGCATTAGGTTGGTTCTCTTCTCTCATCTTCTTTCTTTTCCTCCATTTTCCCCTTATCAAATCTTCTGTGGGAATCATAATTTTTTTTCATTGAAAGCCTTTTGATTGTTAAGCAGTTTGGAAGTACTGCCTTCTAGTTCTTAGAATTTAACGTGTAAGAATATTTTGGTGCCTTAAGGTAATTTGTTATGATCAAAATTTTGCTGATGAGATTGATTGTCTGCAGTTGGCACATTGTTAGGGGCCATGACGGGGGCTTTGATAGGGCAAGAGACGGAGAGTGGGTTCGTTCGAGGGGCTGCTGTTGGGGCTATATCTGGAGCTGTTTTCTCGATCGAAGTCTTCGAATCTTCTCTTATTCTTTGGCAATCCGACGAATCTGGGATCTTATGCTTGCTTTACTTGGTGAGCAGTTTTATTTATTGCCCTGGGTTTTACGGGCTCCATTGTTAATTTCTAAGTTAATAGAAAGAGGGATTAGGAACAAGAAACCTTGATTGTTCTAAATCGATAAGTTTATGTTTCCATCTCTAATTCTAATTATAATCCTTCTAGCTTTATAGTCAAATCTAACTTGTTTTCCTGCAAATCCTGCAGGTTGATGTCATTGCTAGCCTTCTAAGTGGGAGGCTTGTTCGGGAACGAATTGGTCCGGCAATGCTGAGCGCTGTTCAAAGTCAGGTAATATGCTCTACAATATGTTAATAGTTTTTATGCTAGAAAATGATGGTTCCATAAAATGGCAATTTGCTTATGATTTCAGCTTATGTTATCAGATGGGAGCTGCTGGAACAACTTTCGAGGAGGTCCAGAACATCTTTGACACCAGTGGTACGAGAGGATTGGCTGGAGATCTGGTTGAAAAAATCCCCAAGATAATAATCAGAAACAATGACAATGCAGATGCAGCCGGGGAGAAAGTTCCTTGTTCGGTTTGCCTTCAGGTTCAACCATAATCTATCTCGATTCTACCCTAGTCGTGGTAATAAAACTAGTTGCATAAGAAGCTTATTTGATTGACATTTGGAGTTGTCCTTATCATTTATGCAGGACTTTCAGATTGGAGAAACTGTTCGGAGTTTGCCGCAGTGCAATCACATGTTCCACCTGCCTTGCATAGATAAGTGGCTTCTTAGTCATGGTTCTTGTCCATTGTGCAGAAGGGATCTGTTTCTTTAACTGTAGAATTAAGAAAAAGCTATTTGTATTCTATTTATACGGTCTGACTTGCCGGGGCTTGTATATTGTTAATAATATGCTTACCTACTCTGTTTTTCTGACTATTCCATATTCATCTTATTGTGGTATCAAACTCCTAATCGCCTATCTTTCTATGTTGACTCCCCTTTTGTGAATGGCTGTTGTAAACCGAGTTGGCATGCCGGTATTACAGTTCTCGTTAGTTTTCATCCTGGATTGAGACCTCTGTTGTTTTACTAAGAATCATAGTGAAGATAATACAGTGTTTTGTGTCAATGATTATTGTTTTCTTTGTAAATATAAGTTCATCAGAGGAACGCCGATGCTGTGGGAATTAATCTTTTCGGGTCCTGACTTTGTACAGATATCGGTCAGAACATGTTTTAGGGTCGGGCCACTCATCTCCCACTGAATAGAAGAGAGCATCCTCAACCATTAGCTACGACATATTTGAAGCACGGAGAAAGGTTAAGCTTCATTTTGCCCTTAAAATCTTCCCGACAATATTATTGCATAACAATCAGCATCAACAGTACCATCAGTATCGGACTTTTTAGTTTCGGAATTGCAATGATCATAGTTCGATTCACAACAATCTCAAATTAAATCAAGAAACGACATTGAGAGATAGTGTTGTGTTGGTTTCTCAGTGCAACGATGCATGATAATGCAGATAGTAATATGATTTTAAGATCCGAAAAAGTTGATCAACTGTGATACTTTAGCCAGCCAGCCAGCCAGATATCACATTAAAATCTTGATAACATTTATGATTGGCAGCAATGGCAGATGGCATCCCAACAAAGACTGTCTGATTGCAGATTGTTGTACTACTAAAGTACATTAACAAGTGTTTCACCTACCTTTTCCAATGCTTTCATTTGTGCTGCAAAGACAGCAATTCTGTTTCCCATTAACCATGTGATCAGGTTCACAAGATTCATTTCAAGATTGTGCCATCATATTTGGCAGTCGAAGTTCATGAAAACTATATGAATATTAAGCAACATACCTTTTGGAAAGTAACTTATTCCTCAGAATCTAGCACCGCAATAATAAGAAAACAAAGATGTGATGTAGGGAACAGCAGAGACCCTGATGGGTTTTTGTTGATTTTTCTCGTCTGTTTTGATTACATGTCAGCTTTGAACTCAAGAACATGTAGATTCCATGCCTCCTTTTCTTCTTCCAACACATGTAAATTTTGATGTATTCTTTGGCCTATGTTCCGTCTCAAGAGAAGACCAAGTCCATGATAACATGGAGAGGGAGTCCATGATGACATAGCTCCCTTTAGTCAAGGAATTTGTTCAGATAACATAAGAAAAGTAAACCAAATCTTTATGAAAATGGGCCAATGGAAGAAATTATTTGATTTAGCAGTTTGGGGTAGAACATTACTCATCTATCACATGGATGGCCAACAGATTTTTTCTAGAAGGTTTGCAAACACCTGATCATGTTCATGGTCCTAAGAAAATGTGAGTACTTCTTATCATTGCCATTTTAGCTGCCTTGCTGCTGGGATTTTCCTTCTTGTTCTTCTTTGCAGAAGAAAGCTTAGACGAAGATGGATCCGTGAAGGTAAAGGTTAAACAACTTAGACCACATATGTGTTTTTCCTTTAATACCACCAGTTTTGCCTCAAGAGTCAAGTTCTGTAGAACCAGTCATTATTCTTAATGAAAAATAGTTCTTCCATTGAATTGATTGCTTCTTGTTTCATGATATCTTTATACAATTACGAAGTCTGAAAGCTGAGAAATTGAAGTTGAGGCGTTTCCTAATGGAGGAGCTGGAGAAGCTACCAAAAATTTTAGTGCGGAGTGTTTGTCGGGATCAGGTTCATTGGGCAATGTCTATAACGGAACATTTGACAGTGAAAGTACATTAGCAATCAAGAGAGCTCGCACGAAATCGTACCAGTGTTGAAGAATTTAGAAATGGTTAGCAGCCTTACGTATTATACTCCGGTACTTTAGTTTAAAACAGCACAAGTAATTTACTTAATTACCTTGTTTTTACTGGTTTCTTGAAACAGAAGTTAGGCTTCTTTCGAAAGTAAATTATCTGAATCCCGTAGGTTTGGTGAGGTTTTGTGAAGAAACCTGTACGTATATTGAGCATCAAATTGTTGATTAATGAATCGTCTAAAGTAATGCTAAGAACCTAAACTCTTTTTTTTTACTTTATTTGAAACAGGACCAAAAGTTGCAAAAAATTTGGTTTACGAATACGAACCATTGGTTCTTTACTTGTGTATATAGGTTTTAAAAACTAGAAGAAAATGAAACACTAATTTCTGCTTATATTTGGCGTGTAGGAAGAGGTGGCAATTGGAATTTGGAGCTGCTAATGGTAGATTTCCCATAGAAAAATTGGTTTAAATTTTGAGATAAAAATGCTCTTTTATTTTTGTTTTATTTTTACAGGAATAGCTCACTTGCATGATGGGATTAAGCCAATCATAATCCACCGAGATATTAAACCTTCATATTGTGCAAGTTTCCATTTGAGTCCCTTTAGTGATGCTTATAGCTTTGGTGTTATACTTTCTGCAACTTATTGTTGCCTGGCAGGCTGTGGATTCCGCTGGAAGTCACCCTTATTATCATACCATTGACTGGGTTAGTTTTTTTTTCCCCAATCAATTATAACTTTGCCTTGCTGTTGTTAGTAAGCTGACAATTCAGACACTAAACATGTGCTAAAGTAAGCTGTTGAAAATGCAGGCAAGGCCGAGTATGGAAAAGGGCAACATTGAAGAAATTCTTAATACTACTCTTTTATCCGGAGCTTGCAACATGGAAATGATGCAGACAATGGGTGAACTTGGTCTATGATGTGTGGCAAAAACGCCTAAAAACCGTCCTATAACGACTCAGGCCTGGCAAGAACTGAAAAATACACTTTATCAACTCGATCAACGAACACTCATTGAGAAGTTTGAGAACCACCAACTCCTCATTTCTTCAACCAACTGAACAAGAAAAAACAATGATCTCAAACAGTTACAAATTGTTGAAATGCAACTCTCTTTAGCATCAAACTAAGATCATTAATACTTACAATCATCCAAATACAATAGCTTTCCACAAACACGATTCCCGAGCAAGCTGCTCGGGCGACTTATTTATGAAACTCCGTATGTGAGAAATGCAACATAAGGTGTTATATAACCAGATTCTTTTACGGGCTTTTCCATGTCTCAGTCACTTCAACCCCATAGATAAGAACTCATTTCATCTACATAGCTTGGTTCACCTTCATCTTCCTTCTCCGGTGCCTTAGCAGTTTCGCAATGAGTCACGAGGTCGGCATACATTTTTACATAAGCCTTTGAAAACTCAACCAAGGATTCAAAAACCGAATAAAATCCTGTTTGGAATCCTTTCACTGTTATCTGCTGTGTTTCTTCGATGACAGTTTGGTGTTTTAATTTCTCGGTATCTACTCTTTTCCTGAATGTATCCAACAGATTTTTCCGTTCTGCCAAATACTCGATCCGACTCCGAACATTTACTTCTAATTCCTGCTCAGATAATTTTGAACTGAGAACCCTATGCTCTGTTCTCTGGAATGCCAAGACCTTCCTCTCAAGTTCTTTGGCAAGTCCATCGACCTTCCTCTTCTGTTTTTGTTCTTCACCCTGTTGAACCCAAAGTGCGTGCATATCCTTTCCGAAGCTTTTCAATGCCCGAACAACAGCTTCATTCGGCAACTTCTCCAAGCTAGCCAACCATTCAAGACAAGTTGCCAGTAATGGTGGTCCATCGACTGCTAATGCTGGGACGGAAGACCTCTTCTTGGGGCGTAATTCTACTTCAGGAGAAATGAACTTGGAAAGCCACCCGCTGAGAGCTTCAATGTATTCCTTCTGTGCAGATAAATATGCAGCAAAGCAAGAGCGCCAATTATGAAGTTCTTCCACAAGCTGAAGTGTAGCAAGCCGGTGAGAGTCGTTACAAAACTTTCCATAAGCAGGACAGTTGAAAGAGGTAACTTCAAACATGATTCGGTTTTGGGTTTCATGCAATTCCATCATTATCTTCCAGTTCCTCATTAGGCTGCAGAAAGAGAGAGCAATGAAGATTATCACAATGAAAAATCTACAACACATCTGAAATATTTATTTTTGTCATTTGCTTTCATACCCATGTAGCAGCTCAATAAGTTGCGGCTGCAACTCTTCATCCCTCAGTTTTTCAATCCTTTCGGAGATCGTTTCGGCACTTCGTATTGCAACCAAGATTCTGCTATGCAAGTCTTTCACTTCAGCTCTTGTTTTGTCTCCGGAGAAGAGGCCATCCCGTTTAGCAATGCGGTTTCTCATTTGAGAACATTTCTGGTCGTAAGTTTTCCTGGTCTGGTCTGCTGCCTGATTATAAGAAATATAAAATGTAGGAAGGTATTTACATAAGCTTGAGAAAACACGAACTTTCAATGAACTCAAGCACTCACAATAAAAGCAAGAGGATATAAGTAGATCAAGCAATACAACAGGGTGAAAGGAATCATTTCCTAAGGCATGTGTGTTCGAGAAAGAAGGAGAGAGAGTTCCCATTTTCGGGCCAGTGATAGACAAATGTGTCTATAGTACCTTCACTTCCTCATAGAGTTTCTTTTCCCAAGCATACAACCTTCCTAGAGTCAGTGAGTGGCTTCCAGATTCCATTCCTCCATAATCATCAAACATATCAGTCTTTAACTCTGTCCATGTAAAAGAACTTCTGGAACTGCATGAAACGAGGCTTTTGGAGGACGAAGATCGGGATAGCGGCGACCGGCTTGAAGTAATTGACCGGATAATTTTACTTGAGCTCTCTGCAGCCAGTCAGCGTGTTAAACTGTCATACAAATCGAAGTATGGCAAAAAAAATGACATGCACAGACCATGAAGTAAATAGATTGGGCATCCAAATAACCTCTCCTTTCTTATTCTGAGCCTAATTTGCAATAACAAGAATATGGAACCTTCAGTGCTCAATTTGCAAGAGGATGATACAAGAAAAACTAGATTATCTAAGAAAATCACGTGAGAATTAGAAGCATTTTCAAGAAACAGAAAATGATAAAGAGAAAGAGAAGATAACCCACCTTTGAATTCCTCCAAACCAGATTGCAGCTGAACTCTATTGGCCTCTAACATTCTACAAACATCCAAACCAGATTCATAAGCTCTAAGGAAATGGTCCTCAACATCCTTCAAAGCTTCCAACAACTCTCTCTCGTTTCTAGCTGTAGGTGTCTTAATCATTCTGAAACTATTCTTTTCACCTTGGCAAATATTTGCATCATGGCCATCACCATTACTCAAATTTGTACTCTTGTTCTTATTCTTACTCTCCCCATCACCATCATGATCAGCATTTGTTGCATTCTCGACCTTTCTCTCACCTTCTTCTTCCAGGTCAGGGATTCCCTCTTTCTCTCTCACCGCTCTCAATTCCTCCTGAGAACTGTCACTGAAGCTGCTCACTGCCCTTGTCCTCACCTCATCAAAAGGGTTGAAGAAATCCCAGGCAAACTCCTTCTCTGGCGATGGTATTGCTGGTGGAGCCTCTTCACCATAAAAATGCTCACAAATGACCCCATCTTCTTCCTCTTCTTCTGAGGATTCAAGACAACCCTCTTTACCTTGTTCAGTTCTTGGACCTTCCTCTTGTCCTTGATATTGACCCCCTCTCTTGAGAAAAACTGTTGAAAGAGAGGATTGACAGTGAATGGTCTCATGGGTGGGCTCGGTGGGTTTTTGCTGAAAGAACATGGAGTTTGCCATAGGGGTCTCAGTAGCTGGGAAAGTGATGAGGAAAGGAGAAGAAGGAGAGGAATGCCTAGCTACAAACAGTCTTATGGCAGCTGCAACCGCATAGAGAGACTGATTATACTTACATTGAGCATCTGCAAGAGCATACCTACGCTCCACAGCCAATTTCAGGAGGCGTTTTCTATCTTTACACAGTGACACCACACCATCTTCAACCTCTTTCTTTGAAGTGGCACACCCCATTTCTGAAATCCAAAGGTGATTCCTTTTGTGGAATTTAAAGTTGTGTTCTTGATTAGACAACAAATGCACTCGTTTTAACAAGAAAAGAAGTTTTCTGTTACCCCTTGAGAAAAGACTAGGTATTGGCTGTGACAGAAAAGTGTCTCGGAAAAGTTGCAGAGAATCACATCAGATAATGAAAAAACAAGAGTAAAACTAAGCCGCAACTCGGCTCACTGCCCTTGTGTTCGATAACGGAGATGCTTTGGGTTTCAAGTAGAGGTTTAACTAAAATAAACCTGATTAACCATTAGGGGGGGGGGGGGAATGAAGATGAGTATGCCAGAGGTGAGACAAAGTAACAAGCTTGTCTTTTTGCTACACTTTTGGCCTTTTAGACTTGAAAAGAATTGAAATCTCCATCCATTTCAATGAATGAAGATTGCTTTCTTTGGTGTGTATTTCCTGGAAATAGCTAATTTAACAATGCAGCTATTCCCCTAACCTTTTTCTTTCATAGGAAAGAGGTTTGTGGACATGGCAGAGATCTTTTAAAGACAAATGCTGGCAACCAATTCGCGAAGTGAGCAAAAAGAAAACTTTTTTTTTTTTGGATAAGCAAAAAGAAAACTTTTGTAACAGAGAGAAACTATACTAAGCACTAATTTTTGCTATGTTTTACTGTCCCAAGCCATGTGAAAAAAAATAAATCAAGCCCCACATTCACTAAATGCCACGGAAGATAATACATAGGTACGATGGCAATGACTTACAGCTCTACCAAAGGGCAGGGTACCCTTTTTACCCTTTTCTAAATGATATGATTATATAATAATACGGCACCTACAAAGCACCCAAACAATTAATAATTATTTGTTATGCATTGATCGATTAAATTTTATTAATCTAAGGTCCATTTGATGATATGGACTTCTCTGGGTTTTATAGAGTTGACGCCACAGAGGCAAAGCACATATCACCATTCACGTCTTTGCGGGGAAAATTGACATACGGCGGAAGGCGTGGATGTATTCTTCTTAAATTATTTGGTACTCCATTATTACCCGAACCTTAAAGCACAACAACTCACCCATCCCCTCCCCTATAAATACCCCCGAATGCAAACATTATATCACACAAATTATTTTCATATTCTTTCTTTTATCAAACTAAATAGATTTTATTATAGTTCTTAGAATATAAAATTATTTATTATTATATTATATTATATTTATTTTATACTTAATTATTTGACCAAAATTTTTTATACTAATAATTTTGTTTTATTGTGTACTGATTTAAATGGAAAGCGGTATCAAATATTGAGACATTTTTTCGAGATGCTAACAATATTAAATTGTGTTATTAAATTTACTGTGAATTTTTTTAATGTTTTAACATTAATTTATTTTTAAGTCCGTATATTATTTATTTAATTAGGCGTATTTCAACTATTGTAGTATTGTAGAGCACAAGGTTCTTAACCTTGAGGTCGTGGGATCGAGTCTCATGGAGGGCATTTCATAATTTGGAGGTCTCCTACGGAAGCTGCTCTCAACCTAGTGTTGGGGGCAGCCTACTATCTTACCTCCCCTTTACCCCATTACATATGGGAACAAGGGACAACCATTTTTTTTTGTAGTATTTTCGTTAACTTATACAACGTTCGAACTCTCCAACGATAACGATGTTGCTATGATGGTTGATTCTCATAATCAAAATTCAGATGCTGATACACATATATATACGAAATTTGTTGAAGTGTCTACGGTTTGTGGTATATCATTCTGCTCCCACTATGGGCTGGCTCAACAAGCTGATCAAGTTGACATCTCAACTACAATAATGTGTAATGATTTTAACGCCATAATGAAAAATCCACATCATGATACCATCCCATCAAATTCAATGGGGAGACATTCATCAGCAACTTATTATGATGCCTATCGAGGTGGCTCCACGAACAATCTGTATGGCAACGTCGCTTCCAGTTCAATGGGAAGGCAATCATCTGCCAATTTGTTTAACTTGAATATGAGGATGTCATCGATATAATAATCTGTTCAATACCCATTTGACACGATGCCTTCAAGTTCCAATGGGAGGCATTCAACTGCGAGCTTCTTTGACCTCAATGTCAAGATGTTTGCGACACAACACTCACTCCAAAACCCGTATGACACGATGCCTTCAAGTTCAATAGGAAGGCATTCAACTATCAGCTTGTTCGACCTAAATATCGGCATCATAGAGAAACCTCTATCTCCACCAAAAGAACCTCTTCGTGAGCCAGGTGTAGATGGTGCTAAGACTGGACTATTCGTTGAGCCATAATCATCGCAATTCAACGTGAACTCCGATGATGATGAAGTAGATGAAGTTCCCACAACTACGGTACACATCGAACCTCCAACACATATATATGAAGTTGACTATAGTGCAATATATGGGCCAGAATTTACGGATATGTCTAATATTTGTGACTATGGATTTAACTCATCAATCGACCGATCACCATCGAAAAATATGTCTGCTATTGTGCCCAACGTGATAACGGATGTAACTAGATGGTTCGTGTATCGAAGAGGAAGAGGAAAAATAACATATGAGAACTAACAATATACAAAGGTCATCATACATGTTGTCCTAGAGAGATAAACCAGGACCATCCCAACTTAGACTTCGATATTATCTGTCAAGCCATCATACTCATGGTCAAAGGAAGCTCTTATATAGCTATTGTTGTGTTGCTTTTATCTATATAGTCTAAATATGGGTACACCGTCTCCTACAAGAAAGCATAGAAGGCAAAGCAGAATGTCATTAAAAAATTGCACGGTGAGTGGGATTCATCCTACAACGAACTACCAAGTTGGTTTAGGGTAGTGCATACACTGAATCCTGGGACAATAATGGACTTTGAAACTTGCCATGCATACAACAATGATTGAGTGCTTCGCGATTGATGCCAATTCTACTGCTATTTTGGACTTACCCACAGTGCATTAATATTGTGAAATACTACAAGCCTGTGGTCCAGATTGATAAGACATTCTTGCATTGAAAATACAAGTAAGTTCTACTATTGACAGTTGTTTAAGATGACAATCGTAATATTCTTCCAGTTGTTTTTTCCCTTGTTGAATGAGAAAATATAGATTCTTGGACTTTCTTTCCTCAAAACTTATGCTTATATGTTGTTACGAAGGAAAAATCTGTGTTATTTCAGATCGCGGAGTTGGGTTCAAAGCAGCAATGGACCATTTAGGTCCAATGTGACAACTACCATATGTCCAACATCAATATTGTTTTCGACATATAACCACAAACTATCATGAAAAGTTCAAGAATAATGATGAACTCCAATTACTTGTGCGCATGGGTATGTCACATTTCTTAATTTTATTTATGTAGAATTTTCTTTGTTTATGGGAACTTAACAGTAAGTACTACATAAATCGCTGATGTTACAAACTACTACCTCAGACGTTTGAGTCCATGCTTCATGAATTACGAGGGAAAATTGAGCAAGTATACAATTATATCAACCTTTACAACAAAGAAATATGGACAAATGCATATGATGGTGGATATCAATATGGACACGTGACGACCAACTTGGCTGATGCTATCAATTCAACCTTAAAGGGGGCGTGTCATTTACCAGTTATAGTTTTGGTTACAACGATATACTTTCATTTGGGGAGCACTTTTTTCTAGGCTCGATGGACAAGCTTAAACTTGGATGCAAAACAGTCATGTTTATCTCCCAAGATTAGTTGCAGATCTACAAAAAAAGAATTGGTGTTGCAAATGGAATGTCTATAACTAGCTTATCTCAAACCCATGAATTATTTCATGTCACAGAAATACCACTACCTCTTAAAGGGATTGAAGCTAACTCGTTCAGAGTTAATCTACAAGACAGGTGGTGTGACTATGGATTTTTCAAGCTCTAGAGTATCCATGCTCCCGTGTCATAGCAACTTGCTCTTATACCTATCAAGACTTTAACCGTTTTGTAGATCACGTATACCGACTTTTAGAAGTATTTAAGGCATATTAATTTGAGTTCCCCCTATTGGTAATGAGAAAGACCCAGTTGAGGTTCATAATTATCTTTTGATTGTACAAAATCCATCCTATTAAGGGAAGTAGGTCGTCCAAAATCCACTCGAATTCATTGTGATATGAATATTCGATAGACGTCCAAAGAAAACAAAAGATGTTGGCATTGTAGAAACCTAAGCCATAATAGAAAAAATGTTCATCTCTTTTATCATCACGTAACAATTGATGTTGTGCCGATGAAATTATTTTTTCTGAAATATCAAGTTATGTTATTTTATTTTCGTTTACGTTCAAGTAATGGGTTACTCAAGTGAAGATTAAGCTCACAAAAACTTCAAGGTTTATACCACAAAACCTTGAATACACTCTCTGCCAAAGAGTAATTACAAATTTAGCAAACTAAAGAAAAACCTCACAAAGGCAAATAAGTTTGCACTAATTAAGTTCTCACCCAAATTACACTTGAGCAAAATAAACAATGTAAGTCACAAGTGTGTTTACAACAAAGAATATACAAATTAAGCACAAAACTAAGCTTTGATGTCGATAGATTGGTTCAATATGATTCTTGATGACCTTGGAAAGCTTTGATCTTCAATTTATACCTTCTCCATTAATTCTAGCTGTTTGGAGCCATTGGGGATCATTATAGTTGTTGCCTATAACAAAAACAACATTTAATGCACAAGGGATCGATCATTTATTAAAAGGGATCGATTATTTTTCAAAAAAATTGACCGTTGTAACAAAGGGATTGGTCTTTTAAAGTAAATGATCGATCTTTTTTCTATATGATCGACCCTTTAAGCCAAAAATCCTTGGAAACTTAACTTTAAAGATCGAAAACGATCAAGCTTGTTTTTAAAAAAGTTTGACTAAGTTGGAAAATATTCAAAACATATTTTTTCAAGTTAATTAGGGCTTTAAATTATTTTTGATAATTTTAACAAATTCAATTAAGTCCAAAAATAATTTTGCAATTTAATGTTATATCAAAATATTAATTCAACAAAAATATTACAATATAAACAAGTCTATCGATTTTTGCATCTCGAATGTTTTTCACAAGGCGGTGGTTATCTATTTCGATAAGGGTTTTTTTGTATAAGTTGATCTTCCTCCTCACTCTCATAATCATCATCAGCAACAGCAGCAATAACATGTATATTTTGTTGATCAGGGACAGATGATGTACCACATCTATAGAATAAAGACCCTGAAGGTGTATGACTAACCATCCCACTGTTTATAGAAAACTGTGAAAACATAGGCATCGATGAATGCAAAAATTGGGTAGGAGGTATCTGAGTCTATGGTGGCACATCACCTGCCAAATATGATGCATATTAAGCCTATGTTGGATCTACAAACATGAAATTGTAATAACCGCCTGGAGAGGTCATAAAACCCTATGATGATGATATTGGAACCTGTTGTGGTGGCATCTAAAATAGAGGTAATGGCATCTGAAAAAACTGTGGAGCCATCTGAAATGGTTGTATCCCCATTTGGAACAACTACAGAA